AGAAAAGCCAAAAGAGCTTGTGATCAGTAATGATTAATAAAATGTAAAGCACTATACATATATGAATTTCTATGATGTTGTGGGAGAGGCGAATCAAAGGACTGGGGTGGCAGGGAATACTTTGGCACATGGCACTGGATACACAGGGGGGGTTTATGGAAGATACGGAGAGGGAGGGACGGATGGATGGAGAGAATGCTTCATAATTCCCCCTCCCCCTCCGTTGTGTCTTTCTCCCCCCAACCTCTTCGGCTGAGAGGAAAGTGTCCCACGCTTAGATTTGAGCCATTAATATTCTGTCTCGACTCATTGTCTTTGCCTGCTGACATTTACATTTAGATTGTTTATCTGACTGTGGGGGGTGTCCGACCATTAATGAATATGCTTCTGTTGTTCTAGAAAGGCAGCAATTACCGGCTCTGCGTTAAGATAATGAAAGTAGAGGGATGTGGTAGGTGGGCATTAGCCACGGCGGAGAAAAGGCCTTGGTGCGGTTGTGCTTTTTTAGACTATGCAGCAAGGGATGAACTGGAGGAACACGGAGGACTCTGTGCTGGTTTCCCTGTCATTCTGTAGGCAGATCTCTCCCGGTCTCTTGGTTAGATATAATGAGGGGTTCGGGCATAGACACGCATGCTAGCTTGCAGCTTTTCTCAGCTGCGCTATAATGCAGGTTTAAGGCCTTACTTTTTTTTTTATTTATTCTTACATTTTTACTTTTTAATCATTATTTTTATATTATAAATTGTATATACATATACACATGAATGTTTTATACTATTTAATATTTTTTAGTTGTTGTTTTAGTAATTGTTGGATTTTTATATAATTTATAGAAATTATGTTAATTAATTAATTAAATTATTTTTCTTAAAGGTCCCCTGAAATGCTTAGAAACACGTTACTCTATGTGTTGACGTAATTTTAACTGAAACAGGAAGACAGGGCGGGACATATCAAGCAGCCCCGCCCCTTTTTAAAATAGCCAATAGCGTTCGTTTATATCACAGCTTGGGCTAGAGCCGTTCAGAGCCGTTGAGCTCCGCCTCTTTCAGAAAAGCCAAAAGAGCTTGTGATCAGTAATGATTAATAAAATGTAAAGCACTATACATATATGAATTTCTATGATGTTGTGGGAGAGGCGAATCAAAGGACTGGGGTGGCAGGGAATACTTTGGCACATGGCACTGGATACACAGGGGGGGTTTATGGAAGATACGGAGAGGGAGGGACGGATGGATGGAGAGAATGCTTCATAATTCCCCCTCCCCCTCCGTTGTGTCTTTCTCCCCCCAACCTCTTCGGCTGAGAGGAAAGTGTCCCACGCTTAGATTTGAGCCATTAATATTCTGTCTCGACTCATTGTCTTTGCCTGCTGACATTTACATTTAGATTGTTTATCTGACTGTGGGGGGTGTCCGACCATTAATGAATATGCTTCTGTTGTTCTAGAAAGGCAGCAATTACCGGCTCTGCGTTAAGATAATGAAAGTAGAGGGATGTGGTAGGTGGGCATTAGCCACGGCGGAGAAAAGGCCTTGGTGCGGTTGTGCTTTTTTAGACTATGCAGCAAGGGATGAACTGGAGGAACACGGAGGACTCTGTGCTGGTTTCCCTGTCATTCTGTAGGCAGATCTCTCCCGGTCTCTTGGTTAGATATAATGAGGGGTTCGGGCATAGACACGCATGCTAGCTTGCAGCTTTTCTCAGCTGCGCTATAATGCAGGTTTAAGGCCTTACTGTCAACACTTTTCTGTCAGCATTAACTGAAAATTTTTTTTTTGTTTGTTTATTTGTATATTATTTAATGTATATAAATATCATAATAATAATCTATAATAATAATAATAATATAATGTGTGTGTGTGTGTAT